CTTCGGATAATATTCCGTTGTTCAGATTGCCAGGTAGGGAGTTTTTCTGGATCGAATTCTCATGAAAATAACTGTCGGAATCAGGTTATCGAAAGTGTCAAGACGACTATGATAATGACTAGATTTTAGTTTTTTGTGGTAGGACCCAGAATACTCAAATGGCTGTACGCTGGATCAGAACTTGCCGAACGTGCCGAATCTCAAAAGTGGGCGGAGCTAGAAAAAAGTTGTCAACTGCAAACTTTCTCAGAATTAAATTTGAAGCAAGTTTGCTGTTGACAACTTTCTCCTAGCTCCGCCCACTTTTGAGATATGGGACAGTTTCGATTCAGAAAACTCCGATTTAGCGTACCGCCACTCAAATGTGGCGTTTTGATCAATAAAAAATGACAGTTCTATGATAGTTTTTCATTAGTTCCGTGCCCACCCAAGTACGTACTAAATTCCAAATTCTTCCAGGCCAAGTCGGTGTCCGTGCCACCGAGAAGAAGAACCTCGAGGGATGGATGATCCACTTCATCCTCTCCGACCCAGAACGCCGTCTCAAACACTATTGGATGATGCAGAACAACGCGATTCATTTGTACAATGAATATTCCGAGGGAATCGGTGTCAACCCCAATCGAGTCTACCGAATCATTCCACTCGCTGAAATCACTTCTGTCGTGCAGAACAATGGGAAATCAGTCCTGGCGAAACATCCGCCGCACTGCTTCGAAATTCGAACGACAACGAATACGGTGTTTTGTGTTGGGGAGGATTACCATGCGTTTTCTGGAGGACCACCGAAAAAGATACCGAGGAGTATGAGTGTTAGACCAACGTCGAATACCACCATGTGGTTTCAGGTAAGCGGGCACCTGTGACCTCTAGGCGTCATTCCTTGCGGTTGAACGAATAGCCTTGGTGGTTACGGTTTTGCCTTACGTTCTGAGGGTTTGGGGTTCGACCCCACTGGGGGAATTCTTTTTCGTTCTATTTTTTCTAACTTTTTTGAGCGTCCCGAGTGGTTTTTAAGAGCTAGAACTGCCTTTCTGAAAAAAAAACCAAAAATTTCAGTTCATCAAAGAATCCCTGCAACCCCCATCTCGAACCGAAGACAACGCCGAACAAGCCCTGGAGTTCGCCAATCTTTATCAAGTTTTAAGTGATAAAACCCTAGGAAGTGGACAGTTCGGAACAGTTTATTCCGCCATTCAGAGGCACTCCGGGAAAGAAGTCGCCGTAAAGGTAAACACGCTCTACTGTTTTTTTTTCTATTCAAAAGTTCAAGGTGATCTCCAAAGAGCGATTCTCGAAAAAAGGAAGCGGAGCCGAGTCGATGCGAGCTGAGGTGGCGATTCTCCAGCAGACATGCCACCCGGGAATTGTTTGTCTGGAGTTTATGTGCGAGACGAAGGATAAGATTTTTGTGGTGATGGAGAAGATGAATGGGGATATGTTGGAGATGATTTTGAGGTGAGTCTAAAAAAAATACTATTATTCATGGAAAATTCCTTTCGAAACAACGAAATCCGTCAGTTTTCAATTTTGAGTGCTTACGCGCAAATTTGAATTTTTGAGAAACGGCACACCCCCCCCCCCCCTCTCTCTCTCTCTCTCTCTCTCTCTCTCTCTCAAAAACACCGCGCACCCCTACCGCCTCCCTCTCGCTTTCCTCAGTTATTCTGCTGGTGTAGTGGTTTACGTTTTTGCCCTTGGTTCTCAACGCCGGGGTTCGATTCCACATGGGACCATTTTCTTTTTTCTTTTTTTTTACTTGTTTCCCACCACTCAAATTCCAATTTTTCAGTCAAGAACTCGGTCGCCTCAACTCCCGAGCCACCAAATTCCTCCTGGTCCAGATCCTCTGTGCCCTCAAGTACCTCCACGACCAAGGAATTGCTCACTGTGACTTGAAACCTGAAAATGTGCTGCTCTCCGATATGGGATCCAATTTCCCGCAAACGAAAATCTGCGATTTCGGCTACGCTCGATTCATTCCGGAGTCACAGTTCAGAAAGACCGTAGTCGGTACTCCTGCGTACCTTCCCCCGGAGGTCCTGCAGCGGAAGGGATACAATAAGTCATTGGATATGTGGTCCGTCGGAGTTATTATCTATGTGACGTTGTCAGGAACTTTTCCGTTCAATGAGGGAGAGGAGGTGAGTTTTGGTAGATGGGATGTGGAGCTAGACCTGAATTTCTGTTTCAGATCTCCGAACAAATCCAAAACGCGTCGTTCATGTTCCCAACTGAGCCATGGAGTGAGGTTGAGCCATTGGCAGTGGATTTGATACAGAAGCTGTTGAAAGTGGAGGTAAGTTACGAAAACATCGTATTTCAATCAGTTTTGAGTTCGGTCTCACCACGAAAACCTAAAAACTACCGTATCTCAGTCAGTTTTGCTCCAAATTTGACGAAAATGGTAGTTTTGAAATCTGCTTAGCAAGCCGGTCAATATGAGTATAATCATGGCTGGGTTCCAGGAATTTTTCCATTTTGGATGCATTGGGTCCCACCACGAAAATGTGAAAATCTGCTATATCTTAGTCAATTTAGGCCCAATTTTCATGAGAATACCATATTTAGAACCAGCGTAACGAGGCGGTCAATATGAGTATAACCATGACTAGGTTTGAAAAAATCTCATTTTTGATTTACTTGGGTCTCACCACGAAAATCTAAAAAACTATCGTATCTCGGTCAGTTTTGCTCCAAAAAAGATGTAGAGGATAGTTTTGAAACCAGCCTAACAAGCCGGTCAATATGAGTATAATCATGACTAAAGTTGGGGGAAACTTTATTTTTTTGTCCCAGCACGAAAATCAAAAAACTACTGTAGTTGATCATTTTTCTCCCAGATCGAAGCCCGAATGTCCATTGAAAAATGTTTGGAGCACGGATGGCTAAAAGGAGAACAACTGTACAGGGACCTAAGGGACCTGGAAGTCCGATTGAATACCCCAAGGTGAGAAAATTTAACATTAGAGCGCATTTTCTTCAACTCCAAATAAAAGTTTCAGGTACCTCACCAGCCCACAGGACGATGTTCTCTATGGTCCGGCTCCACCTCGTTAGTACATTTTGATTATAAATTCAAATTTTATATGTATAATTTTTTTTCAATTCAACAACAAAAAAAATCCTTCAAAAAGCGGTGCTCTATTATTGAAATTTGTGATAGATTTGTGTTCCTCATATTGCCAGTTTTCTACAATTACCCCTCCCCCGAATCATGTACATCTCATTTCTCTTGTCACTCTCTTTCTCTATGTCTCTTCAAGAAAAATCATTGAAATCTCTTAGAAAAATCAATAAATATTTATTTGAAAAAACGGTTTGTTTGGGCGCGAGATTTTATTTTCAAAAATTCGCGCAAGATTATTTTGAAAATGCGCGTAAGATTATTTTCAAAATTGCGCGTAATATTTTTTCAAAAATGCGCGTGAAATTATTTTGAAAACGCGATTAAGATTATTTCGAAAATGTGCGTAAAAATTGTTTGAAATAGCGCGTCAGACTTTTTCAAAAATGCGCGTGAGATTAGTTTGAAAATGCGCGTAAGATTGGTTTGAAGATGCGCGAAAGATTATTTTGAAAATGCTCGTAAGATTCTTCGAGAAGAACCGGTTAAAATTCTTTGAAATTGCGCGTAAGATTTTTTTTTTTTGAAAATGCGCGTAAGGTTATTTTGAAAACGCGCGTAAAAATTTTTTCAAAATGCGCGTGAAATTATTTTGAAAAAGCGCGTAAGATTGCATTGAAAATGCGCGTAAGATTATTTTGTAAATGCGCTTAGGATTATTTCGAAAATGCGCGTAAGATTATTCTGAAAATGCGCTTAAAAATATTTTTAAAATGCGCGTAACACTCTTTTGGAGATGCGCGCGAAATTTCGCTGCAAACTCTCTGAAACAAATGAGATATCTTTCAAAAAATCAATAAACATTCATTCAATAATACACGACCGCCCCATTTCCACTCTGCCCGCGGTCCTCGAAATAGGTGAAATCGATCAAAAATGTGGCCTGGAGCAGCAGCATTTTGATGATCACCGGCATGTCGGCGGGAACTGGAAACATATTTTTTCAAATACACTTTGCCCTTCCAAAAGACCACTCACAATGTATCATATAGGTGTCCGCATCGCTCACCCATTCCAGATATCCCGGGTCTAGACGGACGATCTCACCAACTTTGGCACCACCCTGAACATAGACCGGAAATGGGAGAGTGTGACGGGTACGGCATGCCGGATTGGACTGTGCGCCGTCTGGGGCGACGATGGCGAATTCGGTGGGACATCCGGCCACGCGGAGGTAGAACTGGAAATTGGTTTTCGGGGGTTTGTAGTTTATAGCCTCCCTTAGCACCGCAACTGTGGGGCGGATTCTCAATTTCTATTTTCTCAAGTGCTACGAGGGGATCAAGTGCTTTTTTTGCTCATGTGCTATAGATCAAGTGCTATTTTTCCAATTTTCAATGTCTCAACTGCTATGGCTTTCGTTTCAAGTGCTATTCCTCGCGATAGCACTTGAGGCGAAAGTCATAGCAGTTGAGACATGACCGAAAATTGGAAGCGTAGCACTTGATCACCTTCGTAGCAGTTGAGTATTTGCCCAACTTTACCACGCATCTTACCCGATAATCACACGTGTCCCTTTTCAACAGGCCAACCGAATTCCCGCGATGCCACGTCTCCAAATAATCCGCCGAACACGTACAACTACCACCACCGTAACGAGAAGAGCTCATCAGGCGTTGACGACGATTGTCGAACATGTGTAGGTCGAAGTTGCGACGATTCCTGTCGCACGAGCGGTCCCAATAGTCGGATTCTTCGTGCGCGTAGAGGATCTGCAAATTTAATTTTCAAAAAATCTTACGCGCACTTTCAAAAAATCTTACGCGCATTTTCGAAAAATCTTACGCGCATTTTCAAAACACTTCATCCGCCCTCCTCAAGAAAAAAACACACCGCGCACCTCTACGCCCTGCCCTCCCCTTCTCTCAGTGACGCGTCTAGTGTAACGGATAGCGCTTTTGCCCTTCAATCTACAGGTCTTGGGTTCGATTCCACATGGCGCCATTTCCTTTTTCTTTTTTTTTGACATGCTTACCCTCCGCATGTACATATCATGCACAATATACCGATTCGGTGTCTCAATCCCGGTCATCATCTCAATCGGCTCAATACACTGAACCACCATCAAACAGTTACTGGCGGCGATCGAGTCGAGAGCCGAGGCGGGCTCCAGTTGGCGGTAGCCCTGGAACTTTTTTGTTGAGGAAAGGACTGTCCTCTAGAACCTAATTTACCCTAATCTGCACTGGCATATTGGCAATAGCATTGGGAACATCGATGGGTTCCTCCTGTTCTTCTGGAAGTTGTTGCTGAGGGGGGCGTGGCCTCTGTTGATAATGGGGTTGATGATTGACTTGATAAGGAGAAGTGGAAGAACGACGATTATGACGACTCATTTTTGTTAAAAATTTGGAAATGGAAATTTGTTTAGAGGGGCCTCACGGGATGGTTTTTTGAATTCCCGAATCCCCGCGTGCCCCATTTTCAAATCTTCCTCCGCCAAAAAAACTCCTCCAATTTTATTCATTTTCCGACACGAGAACAAAAGAAGACAGACGTTCTCAATTGAAAACAACGAGAATTCAAGTTTCGCGGCTCATAAAAAATGGAGAAGAAGAAATCAAAAACAAATCTCTTGCAAAAGTTCGCCGACAAGTTTAAGAAGAAGAAGAGGGGCAAGTCGACGTCGGTAAGCCAAGGGAAATAAAAAGGAAAAAAGAAAAAAAACGTTTGACCACCGCGGGGATTGAACCCTCGGGTGATTTCCCGGAAGTCAAGCGCGTTAGCCACTCGGCCACGGGTGCAACAGCCGAGAGGTGGCAGAGGGAGAATAATAAAAGCGCGCGTTCTCGCTCTCTGCCGCCTCCCATAGCAACTTGTTCCAGGCCTCCCGAGAGCGGAGCTCCGAAATGAGCAGAAGGCGTCCCCGTCCACCTCGATCACCATCAAAACCAAAACTACCAGGAGGACCTGCTGGAGGATCCCCGTCTGCAGAAGCAAAAAGTAAAATAGACCTGATGGAAGTGACGGCGAAAGGTATAAAAAAAGAGAAAAAAGAGGAGAAACGGTCGTCAGGGAAGAAGAAAAAAGAGGAGAAGGAGGTACATAAACGATACAGTAATCCAATCTACAGTAACCCTACTTGCAGACCACTCAAGCCCCTCAAAAAACGCCATCTGCCCTAACACTCCGCCGAGCCGACAGCATCTTAGAGGTCTCCGGGAACAGTAAAAACGTGGAAAAAGCAGTCAAATCGTGGATGGAAACAATAGAAAAACCGGATTTTAAGAAGACGTTCGAGACGGCGTACACTGTCATCGACACAATAAAAGTGGAAATTGAAAAGTGTCAGGCGTTCAAAAAATATATGGATTACTGTCAATCGGAGAATGTGGAGTTGTTGGATGCAAATCGAGTGAAAGGCAATGGAGAGGCGGATTTCTTTTTTCATGGAAGTGTGTTAACAGTGCCATCGGTGAGTTTGAAACTTCAAATAGCCTGAGAGTTCGGGACACCATGTTCCAAACACCATATCTCGATTGTCTTTGAAGACTTCAAAAAGTTTTCAACTGGTAAAATGTTCAAAATGCTTTGCTTAACATTTCTTTAGTTGACTACTTGTTAATAGCTTTAAAGGCAACCGAGATACACTGCTTTGAAGATGGGGAGCTCTACCCCAGCTCTGGAATAATCAGTACTGTATGCTCAGAGCAGCAAATCTCGGTGGTCTTTGGAGCTATCAAAAAATTTTCAACTGGTAAAATGTTCAAAATGGTGTGCCCAACATTTCTTTAGTTGACTACTTTTTGATAGCTTCAACGGCAGCTGAGATAAGCTGCTCGAAACAGTCAGTTCTTATCTAGCCTGCGCGGGCTCGACCCTCTCCAAAATCAAAATTGTGGGCTCAAAAACATACCTCAAGGAGTACTAGGCCAATCTCGACTGCACCTGACCGGCTAGATTGTACAGGATCATAGGGGTTCGTGAACCCAGTCCCTCTAGCAGGCCCCGTGCAGCCCAGGTTGATCTGGGGGTGTTTCCAGGTTATTAGACATGTAGAACTTAAAGAGATCTACATTTGACATGTTTTTGAGTGCATAACTTTGATTTTGAAGAAAGTTAGACCGCGTCGGGTCCGGTGAGCTATCAGGGAAGCTCAGGACTGTAATTCTTACAAAGATTACCGTATACACAGACTACTAACTAGAAAAACTACACAAACTACAAACTACATTACATAACCGTGACAGCAGCTTGTTCTAGTCTCCCCATACTTCACTACAAACTACAAACTACAAACAATCTTCCAGGTCACCTCAAAATCCGTGATCCTCGCCCAACTAGCTCTCCAAGAGTTTCCATCCTCCCTCGAATCGTTTTGGCTTATGGCAGCCTCCCAAAAAATTCAGCGGATCTTTGTTCTTCTTGGAGAGGATGAAATGGACAAAAAGTCCCTTGCTGAATACTTTCCCGACGATTTCATCGAGTACAAAACGATTCGTGTGAATAACCGGAAGACAGTTTACAAGTCAGATGACCAACCGAACACCCAGTTGTTCTACGAAGTTGTCCCCAAGGATTGTGCCGAGGCGCCATTTTGTATGGTTGAGATTTGTGATTTTTGGCCTGATGCCAAGATTCCGATGTGTGGACATGGAAGGATTGCGTCGACGGCTGCAAGTGTTTTTGATTCGGATATCGACACCGAGGCCATGTGTGCCATTGTGAGCAACTATGGAGCCGGACGGGCCGGAGCGTTTTTTGTCGGAGCACTGGCGATTGAGAAGTTACGAAGTGGAGAGGCACCGAACATAAAAGTACCGATTATTCTCTTTCCCTTAACCCCAATGTTATTTCAGGACATTGCCCACTCTGTCCGCTCACAACGACCCGGAGCGATTGAGACCCTCTCGCAATATGTTTTTAGTCATGTGATAGCTCTTTATTATAGTCTAAAACATATAAAAGATGTGGGGTTGAAGGCGAGAGTCGAGAAGTTTATAAGTCAGTTGGAACAGTTTGCATGTGAAAAGATGAGCGAGGAGGATGATGATGACTCGAATTCGACGACTTGTGATTGAACTTTTCGAATTGATGGGAGGGGAATGAAGCTTTGCTTTGAATTTGTTGTTTTAACGCTGACGATAATGACTAAATGCCAGATAATTCTATAGAAAAAAAAAACAGAAATCGATACAGTAGGAATAAAACTTTTCAGCTACAGTAGCCGTTTGTGTGTCGAATTTGATTTTTGTCGGCAAATTATTGGATTTAATAACGCTTTATGTGTTAATAACTGTGTGAACTAATCTTTGAGTAAAAAATCTGCTACCTGATAGCTTTATTTTGCGAAAAATTGATGTAAAAATGAATCTTATTTCCAGAAGTGTGCATTGTTACGTCGTGGTGATTGCAGATTTGGGCATTTTATCTCACGACAGCTTTGGATTTGCACACTTTTCTTCGGAAATCTCCGATTTTCAGAGACCACAAAAATCGGGGAGAAAAAACGGCTCTATTCGACTTGAACGGTCCCTTGGAAGTTGAACGGTCCCTTCAGGCTCCGAAAATAAAAAAACGGTCCTTTCAAAGTTGAACGGTCCCTTCAGACCCCAGAAATAAAATAACGGTCCCTTCAAAGTTGAACGGTCCCCTAAGAAAAATATTCAGAAATACAAATTTTTCACGTGTTCTCTTCTTCCCTTTATTAGTGTTCAATGTATCTTGTCGTTTATAACATTTTTATCTCCACAGATAGGAAAAGAAAATTAGCACACTTTCTTTCAATTTTATGTCGGAGGAATACATTTTTGAGTTTATGAGTTACAGCAAAGACAAGAAAGCTTTCAAAACATTACATCTAAAGCTGGATCTCCTCCACATACTGGAAAACGAGACAAAACTGAAGAATTTAGTTGAAAAATTTGTTTTAAAACTTGCTCTGATTAAAAAAATTATGGATTGTGATAATCGTCAAACAACAATGAGAAGAAGAAAAGAAGTGGGAGGTTTGTATTTCTGAATATTTTTCTTGGGGGACCGTTCAACTTTGAAGGGACCGTCATTTTATTTCTGAGGTCTGAAGGGACCGCTCAACTTTGAAGGGACCGTTCATTTTCAGCCCCTGAGTCGCAGTGGATTGGATCAAAAATTGCTCACCTGGTACTTCACCTGGTACCCGAAAAAATTTTTTTTGCTCGCTCCGCTCGCGCCTTTCTACGCGGTTTATGGCCATTTTTCGAAGGAATCGTGTTATTTTTCAATTCAAAATGCAATTTTTGTTCAAAATCATAAGAACCGGGTCATCCTTATAGAAAAATTCAACTATTTACTATTAAAAATACTTGAATGCTATGAAAACAAAAAGAAAAAGAAAAAAAAAGAGACAGGGAACTGAACCAAAAACTGTCAGACTCAACTCCTAGAGCGCTACCCATTGCGCCACGCGTGCACTAAAGCGCGAGAGGCAAGGGCAATAGAGGAGTGTGAGGAAAAGCGGCAGGGCGCGGCAGAGGGAGAGGCGGCGGGCGCAGTAGATTAGAGTGTAGTGTATGAAGGAAGGGCAAAAAGTACGGTAATGCTAAAAATCCCTCCACACCTGGTATAGACTGCACCCCCCTGGTAATTAGTATTATCCAAGTCAAAAGAAGCATTTTCAAAAAAAAGTTGATGTGGTTTGGAGTCGTTAGAACCATTTCCCACTGGAGTGGAGAAAAACCACTCCAGTGGGAAACCCGTTAAACCCAATTTTTTCGGGCCAACTTTTTTTTTGATTTTGCTCCTTTTGATGCGTAGATTACGAATTACCAGGTGGGGGACACCTATACCAGGTGTAACACCATCTTAATAGCTCATTCGCGATTTCTAGTGATTAAGTACTGTAGCGAGAAAAACTTGTTGTGGCACTTGGTATAGACGATCCGCACCTGGTACATCGTAATCTACAGATCAAAAGAAGCAAAATCAAATAAAAATTGGTTCCAAAAAGTTGAGTTTAACGGGT